GCAACTTGTCCTATCTTCCAGTCCATGTCTTCCGATAGAACCTGAATATCCGAAATCCAAAACAGCAGTTAATCCATGTACTTCGTTGTGCCTCCCTCTATAGCATAAAAACTATGACGATAAAGATAAAGGCGTAATTTCGCATTGTCCGAATCTAAACCTAAACTTTAATCAATGATTCTAATAACAGAATGTTAAAGGCTCCAATTTGTGTGATGCACCATGATTAATAAACCTATAAGCTCTAACGTGCTCTGTCATACCGCAGTGATATTAATATTAACAAGACTTGATTAAAATCAATGTGAGCGCTATCAACATTGTCAGCTGAAGTGACTGTTTGATATATTACGATTTGGGCTCGGGAATTTTGGACTGTCGTGGCTTAGTTTAGTTACAAGATTAAACCAATTATGCGATGGTTTGGAATTTCAGTATTCTACTTTTCAACCGATAACTGATATTACGTTTGATTTGATGAAACCCAAATGACGCAGTATATTTAAACTCCATATTTGCAGAAACACTAAAGATAATTTGAGTGAAAATATAATATTATAATGTTCCGAGTTCATTATGCTAATAACGTATGTGAGTGCAATTATTTTTAATGGAAAGGACACAAACAGTTTATTTTAATGGTACAAAATCATCCGGATCTCATGTTAAAATAGGCATTAGACATTGTATGAAATAAAATAGGGAGAAAAAATAGCCCTGAGTTTCTTGTAGGTTTTCTCAGTACAAAATCTCCCGCCGTAGATTTACGAACCGATGGCGAAGCGTTTGACTTTCACAAGAGCTTGTAATAGCCTAGGCTGACTCAATAAGTTTGAATTTTGTATTTGTATTCTTCCTAAGAAGTTGTTCACAGAGTTCCCATCGTTAATTTAAAATGGAAAGGCGAAGCAGATGTTTATAAACTTTAATGAATATTAATTTCTTTATGGAATGTATATACATACAATTAGAATAATATTCTATATGCGTTTCTTGTCCATTCCTAAATTCTTGTGTTCTGCGTAAGTCAGCAAAGCTTTCTAGTCACCTGGCCATAGGTATCACAACATATATTTTTCTTAAGATATCACTGCAGCGTTTATTTGTTCACTTATTTTAACATATTATACCCATATTTCACGAAAACACAATACATAAGATACAATACTGGCGTGTTTTCTTTTTTATCACGTGCTTCCTTTTACTCCGGCGTGTAAGTGGGTTTACTGCAATATATTTCCCAATTGAGACAATGGTGTCCACAGTTGGGGCACCGTAATATATCAGGGTATTAGGCTGCTAATAAACTAGAGGAAATATCTATTGGGAAAAACGGCGACCTTGTGCTATGGAGTTTTGGTAATGTTAACGTTCCGTTGCACGCGAACTCAGCATTACTGCTTTTGCTGCTTTTAATCGACTGTATATATGATGTATTTCAGGTTATAGATCACTCGAGAAAGCAGTTGTATTAACTAGCAATATGTATTTACTATATATAACCTAAAGCGTCTGATTTGAGCCCTTCTATCTATTTTGTAATATACCAGCGATACCTCATTAATTCATCAGCGTAACATGAACAGTTTTCCGTATAAACTTTTATTCGTGTCGTATCCCGTCGTTTTATTTTCGCAACATAATTAGCATGTGTTTATTTTCCAAAGTATAAAACTTACTTTGGCGGCTAAGGCGTAAATTCTTATAAATATACATTAGTAACTTTGATATGTAGAGTAAGTATTAACGTGGAAGTTTGGATATTAGTAGTAACGATATCGTTGGGTCGTATTTATTAGCTTGATAGATAAGCACGTCTGATAGTAAACGGATACCTATAACCAGTCTATTATCACTTGCAAAACCAGCCTGCCAGCAAGATCACTGCGATATGATAAAAAGTGTAAACAAAAAACGTGATCTAATTGAAATTGTGGTGCTCATGATACGGGGACAGGAGGAGACATGAACACCGTTTATTATCCACTGTCATAACTTCGATTGTTCATACTATAGGTACGTCAAATAATAATTTAAAAAACAAAATTTTGATTTTGTTACTTACTAACAATTGCCTAATTAAATAACATCTTTGGAACGGGAAATACTTACAGCTCAGCTGCCTATAATGTTGTACCCTTTACAAAAAAAAAGTTGCAGTTGTTCTTTCTTTTCGGAGTCTTGCCCTAAAGAGGTAAAATGGCAATATATAAATTGGGATAATTACCATTTACTAACAGAAAAAAAAACCAAAGTAGTAACAATTGAGGCAGTCTGATTTATTTCTAATGACTCGAATTGTTTTTTGGGGTATCTAGCTAATAGTCTTGCGAGTTGAATATCTGTGGCGCGAGCGTTCATTTGTCTAACTTAATTCAATTTATCTTTTTGTACCTTTCCGGCAGATTTAGCGTCTATTGTCAAACTTTTTCCATTTTGCTGGAAATAGATTAGATACATACTTAATTGAGAAGCTCCTCTATATCAACGTAAGGTCAATAAAGTATATTATGATAGTGAAACAGCAAATTCCACATGTCCAGTCATTGGTTGTTATCATTTATGCACTTAGCAACGTTGGTAGCTGGCAAATTCTGGCTTATTTATAAGCCAGCTTACCGAAGGAAATGTATAGAAATACCGATAAACCTACTTTTAATAAATGAAGTCGACGAGCTATTTGGTAGGCAGATTTGCAGACCAGTTTTTATAATTCTGCTATCCCGGTTTCAGATTCATCATCCCCGGCTGAATCAATACATAAAAAATAACTTTAATAATAATATTTGAAGATCGTGTTATACATTTGTTGATTCTAATATATCTGATGAATACTTCAGCATATTGGAATCAGCACCTGTTAGTTTTTGAGATATTTGGTTGTTAAGTAAAAATAAATAACATTTTGTAAAGACCAAATCTGTAGAGACAATTTTCGATAATCGTTTTTACGGGCTAGTAAATATACAAGATGTAAAAAACTTTTTTTTTAATTACGCCCATGTGGGCCATGTGGTTATTATTTGTCATACAGTGTAAAAAACTCATGACAAATACTAAAACTACGCATTCTGTACACCCAAACAAGTAATATTACAAAATATTATACGTGAGAATCATTTGTATTTTTAAGTTAAAAAATACTTTGTGTATGTGTGTACCTGTGTGTATGTGTGTGCGTATGTGTAAGTGCGTCGATAAAAAAGTTTCTAAATGACTTTTTGAAAATATTAATGTATAAATCTTGAAAAAATAATTGTGACTTTGACCTTCAATATCTCCATAACCATAAAATTTTCAGGTATGGTCCAGAAGAAAAAAATGATCGTCATGATGTGGAAAATACGTGGCTTTCGACTTCGTTAAATAATTTTTACACCCTGTATAGTTTAGACATTTACATAAAGTTACATATAATTGACTGATGAAGATATACAAGTACAACAATCACATGTATAGCATTGACATAAGTACCTATTATATTAACAGCTTCAATACTGATGATTTTACTACCTACCGTGCCTTAAAGTTGACTTTCAGTGTACAACGATCGTAGTCATCGTCCATCCTACTCTTACCTACTAGTACTTGAATAGTTTGTAATACGGTAAATATAACACAACACGATGTATTTCCTGGTGCTTTAGTATATCCTACCTGAGTGATGAAGCCTCGAGTGGGCTTTGTGTACTAAAATTAGCGTTCGAACTTTGAATTATGTACAGTCTTTCAGCTGCACATACAAATTTATCGTCTCCCATGCGTGTCAAATTATCGTCAGTGAATCTATTGTCTAGCGTCTAAGGACACGCAGCCTGATAATTCATTACGATAGAACTAATTCTAATTTTGAACGCTAATTTTAACGCATGTATTAGCAAAGCCACCCAAAGCTTCGTCGCGCAGGTATGAGCAATTTTCTGTTGAATAATGTTCTTGTGTCGCCTTGAGTTTATAGTAGAGGAGCCCGGGATGCTAAAGTTGCAGTTACTAGAGCGTCATAGGGACCTATTACATTGTGAAGATTAGGTTCTAAAACGAAAAATTTTTTACCTATGTGATATTTTCCATTTTAGTGGGGGGAAGAGAGTGTAAAAATATTTCAAAAATGTAAAATAAAACAGTCACCTGGAATAACTCGAGCGAGTCAGATAAGTATTAATAGAGTTAATTCGCTTTGTGTTTCTGATAACTGATGAATATTATTGTAATGATTAGATAGTGGAAGGTGGCTGAGAAAAGCGGTAAAGAAAATAAAAAATAAAAAGTTATTCAAGCGTGTCAGACATTGGAAGGGAATGTTCAGTGAACTCAAAACAGTGTTCGATTTAAATTACTGACGATTTGGACGTGACCTACACTCATGACTGATTTTTGAAAATGTAAAAAAAAATGTTAACTGAAAATACTCGAGCGCGTCAGATTTTTTTACTGTTATGCGAGAAAGTGAGAGATTGGAAAAGAGTGAGAAGGAATGAGTGGCGCGAAGTGGGGAATACACTGCTCTCAGCATCTGTACGCTCATGCTTTATCGATTGTTTTATCTACATCGCCCCATGAAAACCGTCAGATTATATTTTTTTCGTAATACTGATAGGATTGCCTTCAAAATAAAAATAATCGCACTCGAGCATTTCGAGGTGACGTTTTTTTTTACAACTTTGTGACTCCTATTTACTTATGTCATGCTCAAATTGTCAAATAATTGGAATATACATTTTTCTAGATGTTCTTAACTTATCTGTTCTTAATCTGACGCGCTCGAGTTTTTCTGAGGATTGATTTTTTTTAATAATCTGGCGGACTGTCGTAAACGCACCCCCCTATATTAAGGGTTCATATTTGGTAGGGGTACATTACAGGGTGTAAGGTTTCTCCCCATATAATTTTCTGACGCGCTCGAGTAACTCGCAAATCCCCGCTTGGGCTCCTCTACTATTAGAATACATATAGACATATAAAGTAATTGTTATTTATAATAAAAATCTTGTTTGTTTCAGTTATCAACGGACGGTAACACCACGACATCTACAGTGTCACTGCAGTTTACGAAGTCTGACGCAAGGGCGAAGTTGGCTTGTAGAGCGTCCAACCCTCAGATGCCGTCGGTTCCTGCTCTGGAAGACGACTGGACCTTGGATATCCAGTGTAAGACATCATACAGTGACAAATATACAAAACACTTACAAAATAACCCCATTAGAGAACGCATTATTTTTAGGGCACCTGCTTATGCCAAGCTGATGTAGCAGTAATGCATTCATCATCAGCCTATTAATCCCCACTACTGTGGCACAGGTCTCTTCCCTGTGAATGGAATAGGAAGATTGGACCAGTGTGGATTGGTAGATGCTAACGACTGCAGATGCAGCCGGGACCAAGGGCTTAACTCGCCTCCCGAAGTACGGAGGAGCTCGACATAACAAATTTTTGATCACCCATCCAATGATGTTTGCGAAAGTTGTTTAACTTCAACGATCGCAGACTAACAACCTGCGCCATCGAGCTCAGTATGCCGCAATTACATTTGGTCATTAGCCCGTATTTGGGTGCAATAAAGACATTACTCGAATTCATGACCCGAAGCAATATTTACACTGGAATACGGGCTGTAGGCCGTGACGGGTAAGCAATAGGAACACATAGTCCTTTACCCGAATTCCGTTGGCACGTATACGGGCTAACAACCAAGTGTAATCGCGCCATTAGGCTCACTTGCGCCAATTTATTATTCAACCACTGTCAATTGTTTATAGTCAAATAGAGATTGAATGAGGCCTAAATAGAATTAGCTTTAAATTTTGATTTAAGAACTCTGGTGCAAGTGACTCTTACTAAGCGTTATACTCCTTTGAGCTAGGTAGTTATGAACTAAAACTTGTACGACAAAAGCTGTATTTGACTTCGTGATTGCTTAACACTGTATTCAGTAATTCTTGATGTCACAGAACTTGTCATTACGACAAGATGTTATATGCTTAAGCCTTGTGCTTGGGGCTTATTAAAGCGTGTGCTTCGTAAAGCGGGCACAGAGCGGGCGTCCGCTCGGCGTGTTCGTTTCATATTATTTCATAAAGCAGCGCTACGTGAAGCGGGTCTCTATGAAATTGAAAAACTACACGCCGCGCGGTCTCTTAACGCAGCGCACGTTCTTGATCGATAAGTATGAAAATATTCCCATTTTCATATTTATCGAATAAAAGAATTTCAAGTCTGTTTTTGTTCCAGATGTTCCAGAGACCACAGTGCGGTTAGGGACGAATCTGGACCCGACTAATATCAGGGAAGGTTCCGATGTTTACTTTGACTGCATCATCAAGGCGCACCCATATGTTTACAAAGTGGAATGGAGGCACAATGTGAGTAACTTAATTTTAATATGTTACTAAGTTATTTTTAGATGTGGATACCTGTCTCCACTCCTAGCCGCAGGTGGTGTAATAAAACTGTCGAAAGGGGTAAATACAATCAGTATCTCATATCATTATCATTTTTTATTCGCTTTAACTATTCAAATTATCATTATCTTATGTGTAACCAATACTTAAAAAACAAACCAAGAGACTACACAATGATAAAAACAGGAGACGGAACCATAATGCTTTTCTTCGAATTATATAATAATTATTTTACATTTTAATAAAAAGCTATGAATGTAACAACTTCAATTTATCTAATTAATATCATAATAATTATGATATTCAGTTTTCTATGATTTTGTAGTAGATAGAAGAAGGTACTATAGACTTCAGCTTACATCATAACAGTGTCATTCAACTCAACAGAAAAACGTTCAGGTCAATTATGATGTAAGGGTAATTCGTCATTCTACTCAAATTACTATTACGACCAAACTTCACTTACAAAATATCACTGATTTACTGCTAGGCCTTATTTTTTATGATAATAGATTTTTTATTACAACTTGCATATGGCCCGCCTGATATGAGGCGGCCACCATAGTCTTTAGAGTATAGACGATTGCGATGCCAAAAATATCACTCGCGTCTTGCTTACCCTGACCCAATACTATAACCCCGTGGAGCCATGGAACCTTATCCACATACAGAAATACACCACCACCAAAAGGTAGTGTTACTCTACTGTGGTCTTCTGTAAGGTGGGAATCACCTCCCCAGACAGGCGCTCCAATTCGAGCGGCAAATCCACTAGACCTACCTTTCATAATGTCTTATTATCTCCATATGCCTTCAGTATAGGATCCTATCTATATATATAAATCTCAAAGGTGACTGACTGACTGACATAGTGATCTATCAACACACAGGGCAAACCACTGGACGGATCGGGCTGAAATTTGGCATGCAGGTAGATGTTATGATGTAGGCATCCGCTAAGAAAGGATTTTTGATCAATTCTACCACCAAGGGGATAAAATAGGGAATGAAAGTTTGTATGAAACTTTGTCAATTTTAAACCGACCGGGCTGAGACTTTGCATGCAGGTATAAGAAGAATTAAAAATAAATGTCATTGTGTATAATACAAGCCTGAGAACAAAACTGTAGTCTACACTTCAGCTCTACACCGAAGCGAAACGAGGGCGGGCCGCTAGTGAAATCATAAAGTTCGATATCGCAAACATTGTCACGCATGTTAATTTTCTGAACTCAGGGAAAAACTTTACTGCACAACGTGGGTCAAGGCGTGATCATCAGCAACCAATCACTTGTGCTGCAAGGCGTCGGCAGAAGAACCGCTGGGAACTACACGTGCGTCGGTTTCAATGCCGAAGGAGACGGTGAAAGCAAACCATTCTCCCTTGACGTACTGTGTAAGTAGCAGATCTAAAATTAAATTTCTAAAGGCGTTTTACAAATAACGTTCTTGAAAGAAACTCATTTTTTTTATGACAACACAACAAATCGCTGTGACAATATGCTGAGGCAGGGACCTAGTTAACCTTCCTTTCTTTGCTGCTATTTCATATCTCATTATTATGTAACGTTGGTTAAGGCTAATAAAAATCTTTCTTTCTTCCCAAATGTTGCTAACAATGAAAAAGAAACAAAACAACATTCAACGGATCATCATCATTATTAAACCAATGTGTTTCCTTAGACAGTAATACTACTACAATAGCTTTAGTTAAAATTTTAGTTTCAAGACAACTTTATATAATCTTCCGTACCAGACATTTATTTACAACAAATTGGTATTCAACACAACGAGTTTTCGCTGGCATTATACAGTTGAACATTTTCGCCAGACCTTTAGTTGGAGCAGAGTCCTTAGAAATTACATACGAGACTCGCAAGTTGCAACTACTGAATGTGCGGTATTCCATTAGTCTGCTGACTCAGCAAAAGTTTTCGTGCCGATTCCTTATACATCACGCGATCTTTGCGATTCGGTGAATAGTCATCGGATGCCCAAAGGAAATTCCTCTATTTCGAGGGTTTCATTCGAGTATTTTCTAAGAACAATTGAAAGGACGAGCTGGATGTAGTGGGTGTGATAATGGAAATTATTCCACCTATTCTGATGTAAATAACGAAATTAAAATTTCAGTCGAGAATATATCGGGTTACAACAAAACTTAAACTTTTCTTGATTAATAGTGAATCTCATATCAAAGTATGCTAAAGCTTTACGTAATTTGGAGAACTTTGAAAATTTTGGGTCACTCGATCTTTTACAGCTTTACAGTGAAATCATCTAAGCTCTAGTTTACATTTTTTTGTTGGTTTCATTTTAACAAAGTATGCTGTAGACCGAATTTATCTTCTTCTTTCTTCTTCCACTTTTCAGCCGTTCACAACCAGTCTGATGTAGGCCTCCTTCAAATAACGCCATCTAGTTCGATCTTGCGCCACTTCCATCCAATTCGTCCCTGCAGTTTTCCTGACGTCATCCTTCCAACGCATCTGTGGTCTTCCTCTAGGTCGTTTTTCGCCCCAAGGTTCCAGGACCGCCTTACCCCACGAGCTATGCTATTAGAATATATGGGACCGATTTTCTGGTCTTGTCTTTTGTGACATCATCTTTACCATTAAATGCTTTAAGTTTTCCTTATTTTTGTTTAAAATTGTTGGTTTACATAAATCACAATCACAGTCTTAGGGGTAATCTTAATATACTCTTTGCATTTATTGTTATTATTATTTTCGTAACAGACGCACCTACATGTAGAAGCTCTCAACAGAGGGTGCATGGTGTGGCCAAACAAGAACGAGCTCATATTACGTGCCACGTCGATGCCAACCCACCCGAAGTTATTGTAAGTAAAATTGTATAGAATTTATTATTATAATAATAATGGACTCGATTTTGGCATGATTCTCTAAAGCTATTTTTTTTTGTCAAAAGTGTATCCTTTCATACTCTGTAAAGAACGAGATTGAGAGATCTTGACCATTATGCTACCGCGTCCTTGATGGCCGTGTCGAATTTTCTCTAGTGTTTCTTAAGCTGCAAGGCCATCTCTTTAGCGCCATCATCGCATTGTAGGTAACCCACGATGTATGCTGCCTAGTCCGCGTGGATTTTTTTCTAGTAAAATTTCCTTTAGATTTAAACATTTAGCAGTTATATGCTTTATAATAAAAATATAAGTAGAGAGATCTTGTCCAAATTAGTTTTTAACTTGAGAGAATCATATCAAAATCCAGCCCTTTATATTTGCTCGAAATGTGAATAAGTTGCGATGGCTATCACACAGTATTTTGTGCATTCACCCTGATAGCGAAAGGCGCTGGTGCGAATCCAGCCTAACTTAACAGCCTAAACTGAATAAATTATTTTGATTATGATTACTTTTCTACCCTTAGCATGAACCGATATCGGATTCGAATAGTTGAATTCGATCTCGATACGCGTCGAATCAAAAATCAAGAAATTTGTATGGAAATTCTAACAACGCCTCAACAACGGACGGAACGAAAATGAGTTCGAATTGAACTACTCTTATTCAATATTGGTACCGTACCGTAGTATGACATGGCTTGTTTTATTTGGTAAACACCTAAATATACCTAGTCCAGCCATAAGTTCTGTAATAGATGAAAATGATTTTTTAATGAAGTAATCGAACATTATTCAATATATAATACAAAGTCTAAGCAAAAAATTAAAAATTTTCAATCCGAAATGGGCACCTTTGGCTTTTATACAGGTCTTTAATCTATTTGGCCACGAATCTATGGATTTACGCACTGTTTCCATCCCTTTTGTATCAGGTAGGCATTTACACGAAATTTTTTTAAGTAACAACATTTTTTTACGACGGATTTACTTTTATTAAAATTTTGAGGTGAAAATTTTGTTAACCTACTCGATAATAATCAATATGGGATCAGCCGTGCTCATCATGCGTCAGTAAGCATGATATCAAAGATCAAAAAGGTATTTAGAAGTGATTTTTATAAATAAAATATACTAAAAAGGATAAAATCACCGTGGATTCTCTGTTACACATGTCTGTCTACTATCTTTATATCTATGAAAATGAAATATCACATTGTATTTGACGTAGCATGGGGCTAAATTTTGTCTCTTGTCTAAGTTAAAATATATCCGCGATGCTCTTCAAAGTTAAACAAAATTACTTCTTTTCCGATTATGAAATAGAATTTGTTTTTTTTTCTTATGGCTTCGCACGGCTTGTGCATTGCCAATGTCAAGTGTAAAATGTTTACAAATTCTAAAGCACTTGTGGTCAAAGTAATAAATCAAGTCAAAATAATTGACAGTCAAGTCCTTTCCCTTGTAAATGTATAGGGATTTACTGGAACCTCCCCGTGGACTTCTTGAGGGAACGTCGAAAGACACTTTCCGCTATTTTGTTTCACTTGCCAACACTTGTCCATGTTCCCGAATACTTAATGGTTAATAATCCACCATTATTAGACACTAACATCCGCCACAACACAATTTTTAACAAGAAAAACAAAACTGCTAAAGTGACACTTCCCGATCCCGCCAAGTCCTAGAAGTTGTTATTAATAGTTTTTTTTGTGTGCGTGTGTTTTTTATTATGAAGAAAAAAAAACTAGTAAATTTTTAGATGTGTTATACTTTAATGTCTTTGACGTTTTGATATAAAAACCTCAATATATCATTTTTTTTAATTTTTGAACTGCGTGGGACGAATCGTTGTTTCTTATATGAAGGGAAACACGCATGTCTGAAGTTATTAAAATGAAGATTACATGTATATACTTGAAGATCTAAATATTTAAAATATTAATATTTACTGAATATTTTTCAAAGTCGACCTTCACCGTTCACTTTTGACTTTCAGACGACAAAGCGTTTTATTACAGAATTAATGGCTTACAAAATTATTTTGCTCGATTCGCTCGTCTGATAACATGGCAAGGAGAAATAGTGAAAATATTATATTTCACTGTGACTGCTTGAAGTACTATTAATATTTTTGAATAAATAAATAATCTGGAATAAATTGGGATTTCAAGGATTCAAATAGTACCTACTTCTGAGAGATGAGAGACGCCCATGCTAAGATGAAGGATTCAGCAAGCTGTGCCAAACATGTACTGTGTTGAGCTTCTCCATGCCTTGAAAGGCACGTAAAGCTGTAACAGCATAAAGGAAACAGTTAGCCCTAGTTGTATTTGCAGTCATTAGCAAATGAGTTGGTACAAGGTCTACCTGCTATCGAAAGAACTCCTTCAGTTGAGTGCAAATTTTAAGCCATATCACACAGTTATAAAAATAATTCTGAAAATCAGTGTCTCCTCTGTACTACGACTACTTCTTTCTAATATGAAGCTCTATTAGCAAAATTGTAGGGAATAGTTTAAAATCTAAATATATACTATATCTTTTTTTTGGCATTTAGTCCGTTCTTCTTTTGTCCTCTTCTTATCCCGTTAGCCGAATATGGATTTTTATAATTTTGAGGCATCATTTGTTCTGCTGGTACGCGTCATCAACAGATAGACCATAGCTCTTTATGCCCCATTGCAATTTCGTCATCCAAGAAGTTTGCGGCTTACCTCTCCCTCTATTTTGCGTAGACATAAAAAAACATTTCTTCACTACTTGATCACGGGGTCAGCGTATGATATGTCCAAACCATCACAGTTTGGATTGGACTATGTTATCGGTGATTGGAGCAATTATAACGATCCCCGAATATTCGGTCAGTTATGAACTCGTCCGTTATTTTAAGAAAATATCAATGTCTGATCAGATTTTCTTAATTAACATCAAAATTTTTAAACAGTTCCGTTGGACCTTCAACAATACGGCGAATAGTAACGAAGTCAGTGACACATACGTATCTCGGACTGGCACCAGCTCGACTGTCACTTATACGCCACACACCGAGATGGACTACGGCACGCTTCTGTGTTGGGCTCACAACAGGATCGGGAAGCAGAGGGTGCCGTGCGTCTACCATATCATTGCAGCGGGTAAGGATAGCTGTAAGATTACCGTAAATATTTTTAAGTTTTTGGCCTAGAAACTGAGGTGTTGTGTTCCTTTATTATGGTTGTCAGAGATCTACAGAGTTCGAGATTTTTTTAAGTTCGGTAAGTTGACTGACTTGAGGGAATGTTTTCATGCCGTTAAAACTTTTTTCGCACAGGGCTCCACATATGATTATCAGGGATGTGAGGCATTTTGCGAGGTTTCATATCTACATCCCACTAATACAAAGTTTGTATGTTTGTTACTCAATCACGCAAGAACTACTGAACGGATTTGGCTGAAATTTGGAACACACATAGTTTATGACCTGGATTGAGATATGGGATACTTTATATCCCGTAAAAGTATAAGGTTTCTTAGAGGTTTAAAAAAAACTTAAGTCAATATTTAAAAAGTCGCGGGCGGCCGCTTGTAAATATATATAAAACAAATCTCAGCTATGAACCACTTATTACCTTAATAAATATGGTATTCTTCCTTTTAGTAATCTTAAATTTATGTAACTGTAGGTCGACCAGATCAAGTACACAATTGCTCCGTGGTCAATGCATCCCTCACATCATTTGGCGTCCGATGCTCAGAAGGTTTCAACGGAGGAATGCCTCAATCTTTCCTATTGGAAGTCAGGGATACTTTGACTCAGGTAAGATATTTTGGTTTTGACGATTAAAAATCCCTTTATAGCTTGCGGACTTTTGTTCCCGGACTACTTTTGTCCCCGTATTATGAAAAATGTCGGCTGAGGACTTGTCACGGACTCAACGCACACGGTGTGCGGACATTTGTCTCCCGAAAATTTTGTGAGGGACACGCTATAGAAGCAATAATCTGAGATTTTGAAAATTTGAAAAATTTGAAAATTTGTTTATTTGAAAATTTGTTTATTTCTTTAAATAACATAATAGTACAATTAGTCGATGAGTCCTCCTAGTAAGTTTTAAATAAAAGCTTGTATCAGGAGAACCCGCTCTCTCATCACTGCAGGTAAGTATAGATGATGCTATTTATACAATAATCGCCAACACAACTTAATATAAATAAATTAAATAAAGTTATTATTATTATTATTATATATCAATTTTGAAATAAACAAAACGCCAACTAAAATTATTATACAAAACTCACAATCAGAACAGTTAAAATTGCTAATATTTTCTTAGAGGTATATATATATTGTGTGTGTGTGTGTGTGTGTGTGTGTGCGCGCGCGTGTATTGTGCATTTGTGTAAGTATTGTGCATATTTATTAATCACTTATGTGAGGAATGCGTGTGTGTCTTCATAATTTAGCGTTTTTATCCAATTCGTAACAATACTTTTGTAATCCCTGTTATTCACATGATCAATAACCAGTAGCTTATGTATACGATTATATAGGAAAGTTGAGAGTGCAGAAAATTGACGTTTAGCGAATAAAGTTAGAGAGAGATACAGATTAAGTTCTAATTAACATGAAGTTTAAGAAAAAGAGAAAACGTTCTAAAAGAGAACACTGGGTCCATCCCTTTATATCAGATTGTTTATTTATTTATATTGTTGAGATTATTTCTTATGTTTTCGTTATAATATTGAAAATTGCAGCCCTCGGGCTGCTCGCCGCTTGCCGAATGCACCTCGCATTACCTGCGTCGCGAGGATTTGTTAACGGAAAACGAACGCGGCGTTGGTCATTGTCGAGGATATAATGCACTTTTTCTCCCCGTCATTGAAAAAAAAAGGTTTTGATTCCCTTGCATGTTCAAAAAATTTGCGGCATAAACGGCTATATCTTTTAATTGCGTTGGGTTAGAAGTTTGATTTTTTCACAGTTCTAATAGACAGTACACCGGAGTATTTGTCATAAATTTCAGCTTGGTAAAAATATTTAGTTCAATTATTTCTACGTATATTCAATTATGCCTGTGGTCCTTACTCACAAACAGAAATGAATAAAATAAATATTTCCAACACTCACACCAATTAGCCTAGCCCCAAAGTAAGCACTGTAAGGCTTGTGTTATGGGATGCTAGGATAACGGATAGAATACATATACAGTACATATATAAGTATATTTATATAGAAATACATATTATTATTACAAATGCAAGGCTCTATGGACTACGGAATTCAGTCCAGGCAGTTTCACTGCATGCTGCTGCTACATTCAAAAGTAGGAACGCGATATCGAATCGTATACTTTACTGATAACACTACTCTTGATTCCATACTAGTGCATAAAACATCGATACTTTAATGCGATACTCTGTACTAATAAGAGCACTTTGCATCGAATATCTAATCGATTCAATAACGCAAACTAAACATTAAAGCGTAGTGTAGGTCTATAGTTAAGAACTGTATAAACGCGCCAACGACAACCTTACGAATATTCGTTTGCCCTATTTTTAATTTGATTTAACACATCTGAATCTCACGCAGCGTGTTCTGATCATAGGTTCCGATATATATTCATAACGATACTTTTGATTCGATACTATTACTCAATAAATACTTTTGTTTTGATAACTTAATTCGTTAACACACGGACTTCACTTAAACTTAAAATCTTGTGGAAAGTGGTAATTTTGTGCTCCTGGTATAATTTCTATGTGATTGACAGCAATAAACCTAACGATATAATAAGCATATAGAGTCTGCGCTAAAAGAGAATGGGCGTGGCGAAAAACGGAACTAACATTAAGATTTTTATTTGGCAATCAAACCCAGCAATCTGTAAAACGTCAAAGTTTTATATTGATACGGATTTGTTTGTTGTTGTGATTTCTTGCGGTTTTTTGTATTTAACCATGTCTAAAAGGGGTAAAACCTTACAAATACGGTAGAAAAGCACTACAGCGCCCTTCAATCTAAATCCCATTCTCTTTCCGCACAGACTCTAACAACAAACGTAACCAATAAAAGAAACTGAAAAAGCCTATATTCCATCTTTTCGCGTATCATCTTAAATTAAAATACCTATTACGCATTTTAGAGCTCGTTCAAAGCTATTTTATTAGTGCATGTATTTATAAATTAAAATAGCTTTTAAAGCTGAAATTTGGTTTGGCCAATGCTGCTTTCAAATTGAAATACCTTTGCTGTTTTACGTTTAATATTGGACAGATTGGACGCTTGCAGCAAATGAACTAGTTTATAGTACCTATCAAATATTCGCTTTAGCTCACTCTAGATGGAACATTGACTTTGACAAAATAATTAAATTACTGCAGTGTGTGTAAGTACTTTTGGTATGTGCACTTAGTAACTAACGTAATATCACCTGAAAGCAGTTATTTAACTAACATTGATGACAACAATCGATTTTGACAGCTTAATGTAAGCGATGATAACGAACATACACTAATTTCATTATATTATACTCATCTCTCAACAAAATATAATTATGTAACTCGTGTAGTTGTAGAACAAAATACACTATTCAGTTCAATAAATTGTCGTAATAACTGTCTTTCTTCCATTACCCAAAAAAAGCTTTTTGCACTAACGCGTATAAAGAGCAATTCAATGAATTTTCCTTGACGCTCGCTCGCGCATCCTTTACAGAACAGTCATATCGCTCTTCATACCCGTTTAAAAGTATTTTATGAAATGATTGGTTTGCATGAAAAGATAAGAAATTATTGGGTTACTCTTTTTACATTAACAGGAGATAGTTGCCAACGTATCGAGTGCTGTGCCTCGATTCACAGCGGTGGGTCTCCAACCGGGCAAGACGTATGCTGCAGCAGTGTTAGCCTACAACGCTAAGGGAAGAGGGGACCCTTATCCATTGAGAGCGAGTACTGTGAGACCACCGGAGAAACACCACGTTCATGACAAAAGTCTCGGTAAGAAACCATCAAAAAGTCTTTGATTATTGGAAAGTATTCAAAAATTTCTATATGATGAGTAAATTATATCACTGGTAAAGTTGCTAACTTAAGGCTTGACAGCGTAGACAATGTTTCACTCCTATAGCAACACGTCGCACGAAAAAATAGGTGCAGATGAAATGAAATGATTACAAGCACTTGTGAAGGTCAAGAAGCTACGCCATCGGTTCGCAAAACAACGGCGGTTAATAGTTAAAAACTACAGATCAAAAATAGATTGTCAATTTGCCACCCCAACACCTCTGTATACGTGCCGACTATCGAGCCTTACATTTACAGAGAATCTAAACGGTGTGCGAATTATTGCAAAACCATTCTCTTCCATGTCCTGTTTACTAAGCAGAAAGCTGCTGGCGTTTCTTCGCAAACTACCTTTTTCATCTTCATAGTCCTTTCTAATTACTGAAGGTTGGACATCAGCCTTGAAAGCGAGCTTCGCTTTATCTCTGGCAAGGTGAAGTAATTCCCCAAACTTCTAGTTTTTTCAAATAACCCATTCGCCCACAGAGTCAACAAGGACTGTGTTCCAAATGTCCGGAGCCATGTCGGCAGCCGTAGGTGGAGGGGGGGTGTTGATGGTAGTGTTCGTGCTGTTCATGATAGCAGTCAGACAGAAGTGTGCGAAAAGGAAGCCGCGGTCAGCGCCACCGCCATCCTCTCAGCCGGCGTCCCCCGACAAGTTCCGAGAGAAGGACGACAGCGAGAGCGATGACCGAAACCCGGACATCATACCGTCTGACACGGATCAGATGCAGGTGTGTTTTCAAATCCATTTTTGTTTTATTTAATGGGTAATACACGAGCAGACGGCTCAAATTTCCGGAGCGATGTCAGCAGTCGTAAGGCGGAGGTCCCCCTCCGTCCCCGTCTGTTCATGATAGCAGACAGACAGAAGTAAAGGAAGAGGAAACCGCGGTCAGCTCCGCCGCCGCTCTCTCAGCCGGCGTGCCTCGACAAGTTCCGATGGAGGGAAGACAGCGAGAGCGATCACCGAAACCTAGACATCATACTGTCTGACACGGATCAGATTCAGGTGTGTTTTAAAGCCATTATTATTTTATTTTATGAGTAACCCACTCCGGAGCGATGTCGGCAGTCGTAGGCGGAGGGGAGGTGTTGATCGTAGTCTTCGTACTGTTCATGATAGCAGTCAGACAGAAGTGTGCGAAGAGGAAGCCGCGGTCAGCGCCACCGCCATCCTCTCAGCCGGCGTCCCCCGACCATTTCCAATGGAAGGATGACAGCGAGAGCGATGACAGAAACCCGGACATCATACCGTCGGATCAAATGCAGGTATGCTGTTAACGCATTTTTTTTTGTTATAAGGAGTAGGTAAATAACGATCAGACGGCTCACCTGATGGCAAGTTATCCCATTTTTTCCATAGACATCTGCAACACCAGAAGTGTCACTCACACTCTCTGTGCTAAAGATTTGCAGGAAATAGAAAATCTGTAAATTGAAATGAAATGAAATATATTTTATTCAAATTGCCTTATTGGAAGCTCTTTTGAATCGTTCATTATTTTTTCCTACCACATCTTTTAGCTGATAAGAAGAATGAGCGCAAGACACTTATTTTCGTTGGTAGTGATAGTGCTAAACAAGCTGATAATAGACCAGATTTCTTATTGCAGTACCAAAATAAACAACAGATCATTAGGAAGATAAATTATAATTATCACCCAATTTTCCTAACTTTAATGACATAATATTTAACGATAGAAAAAGCATTAAATATTCAGGAAATAACTCGACTATACTACTTGATTCAAGCTATCCGTCAATATCTACCCAAAATCAACAGCCTCTAATCACAGTCTTCAACCATACAGCCCAGCGTTCTACATAACCCGTCCTCACCGCAGATGGATTATTATCGGCAGCAGCAAGTGTCGACCATCTCGCCGCCTCCCGGGAATCGAGGGCCCAGGGGCAGCGTGGCAGGAGTCCGCGGCGGTCTGCCTGCGTACTGCGCGCTACGGACCGCCCCGCCGCCTAACCATCCTGTGATGCATGAGCCAGCAGTAAGGAAACTATTTATTGTTCATTATGCAGCAGCAAGTGTCGATTATCTCGCCGCCGCCCGGGAACCGAGGGCCCACCGTACTGCGCGCTGTGGACCGCCCCGCCGCCTAACCATCCTGTGATGCATGAGCCAGCAGTAAGGAAACTATTTATTGTTCATTATGCAGCAGCAAGTGTCGATTATCTCGCCGCCGCCCGGGAACCGAGGGCCCACTGTACTGCGCGCTGTGGACCGCCCCGCTGCCTAACCATCATGTGACGCATGAGCCAGCAGTAAGGAGACTATTTATTGTTCATTATGCAGCAGCAAGTGTCAACCATCTCGCCGCCGCCCGGGAACCGAGGGCCTACCGTACTACGCGCTGCGGACTGCCCCGTCGCCTAACCATCATGTGATGTATGAGTCAGCAGTTAGAACGTCTCATAATCATCGGCCTATTAATGTTCCCACTCCAGGAGCACAGGCGAAGGCCCAGCAGATGGAACAGGGGGATTTGGTCATAACCAACACGTAGACCTAATGCAGATTTGTGGGTGCTAAAGACTGCAGATGCAGCCGAGATCAACGTCTTAACGTGCCTTCCGAAGCACAGTGTATCAATCATCAAGAAAAGAAAGTCTATTTGTTCGTTTTATATCAATAAGTGCCGTTATATTCAAATTTGCCTAGAAATTTCAAGCAATGTGTCGAAGTCACTAATTTACACTCGAAATTGCTCAAGGGATAGTTCGGGGACTGCTATCATCCTTATTATGTGACGTAAAATTCAGCATTAATAAAAATAAAATAAATATTCATAATGTTTTCATAATAATAAATAATCTTCTATAATTAACTGAAATAATAAATACCTGCCAAGTATTTATGCATGATCAAAAGAGAAATCCAAAATTTACATAAAAATGATTATAACTGATTTGAACATTATTTTTTTGTCATTTTAATGAAATTTATTAATTATAATGGAATACAACATTCTATTTAGAAAAATAGGGCTGAAAGTTCGATGATTGACAAGCTTTTACACATGGAACTTAAATAGGGCATATACCGACGAGTTAATAATTACCTACTAACGATTCCGCACTACACTTTGACCTTTAACGTAATATAGATATCTCATGACGCAAAAATACTTGACATACCAAAATAGATTCTTTAAAACCTTAATAACACATCGAAACGCTGACGCACAACTGAGATTGCGACACAAACAAATGCCGAATAAGTAACAAAATCTGTTTCCTCCCGCATTCAGGAAGACATTTACTTAACACCCGACCCGTCTCTCACCAAACTCCAAACGTCAAAATTATGAACATGCAAGCCTCAATGCCTCATTATATTTACAAGATTTTCGACGAACATTTCGCTTACCTAATACGTAATCCGAATGAGTTAATGCCACGTCAGCAGGCAAGGCACGCGTCACGCTTAGCGTGTGTGCTGAAATAGCGGTGCGTCTTGCATATTTCACTTGTAACAAGCTTCCACTTCTCGCTAAAGCTTCAGGGTATAAAATGTGATTGAATAAAGCTGTTTTTGTCTCCGTGATAAAATAACGTCTCCCGGGTAACGCCCTGCGCGCTATTGTACAACCTCATGAATTCGTAATTTTTTATCATAGTAAAGAATATGTTTTATAAGAAACAGTTTCAAATTCTGTGAAAGTCATACGTGTTGTGTTCGCTTTCTTTTGAGGCCACATTTTTTTATCAACCATTACAAGCTTTGGAATAAATCTAGTAGGATTATGTTTTTATTTTTGACGACTGTGGAAAGGTTTGACTTCGGTACCGTTAGCACGAACCAATATTAAATTCTATTAATGGAATTGGATCTCGATGCGTATCAAATGAGTGTTGTATGGAAGTGTGAATATGACATTATGTGATGGAAGTTGATCTCAACACATATTTGCAAGTTTGATGCCAACTTGCAATTTGACGACACTGTATGTAATAAAACAGGGAGAAAAAAACAGCCCTTGCTGAGTTTCTTGCCGGTTCTTCTCAGTACAAGGTCTCCCGCCGTAGTTTTGCGAACCGATGGCGTAGTTTTCGACTTTCACATGTGCTTGTAAAAGCCTAAACTGAATAAATGATTTTTAAATTTGACTTGAAATTTAATTTGAAGATTTTAAATTCTCGTTACGTCCATTGTAGCGCTGTTTAAATTTCCATTCAAAATCTATTGACATTTGACGCGTATCGAGAGCGATTTCGACCAATCGAATTCAATATTGGTTCGTGCTAAGGGTACAGTTATCTTTGGACAAAAACATGACTCTACTATTAACACGTACACATTAGGTGGGAAAAATTCGAAGCGACGCGTGATAAATATAATTAGATATTTCAATATAGGAAATAATTAAGTTTTAAATTAAGTGTTTATTTCACTAACTTGCGTCCTTTGTTACATATTCAGTTCAATATGTATATACATTAGTTAAAAGTGAATTGGTTTCATGTTCTTTGTAAAATAATTTATTAGTAAAGTGAGCAATGAAATGTTAAAGTGGTACCTATATTTCGGAAATGAGAGAGTGAAATTCTTTAAAAATCACTCAAGTATCCAATCTAGACCGTTAACAAGGTCTTGCGAAAGTTAATAGCTACTCGATCGATTCGTAAATCCTTTTAGACGACGCAAAATGGCAAAAAACTCTGTGAAAGGCTGTTGATATGCCTCACGATATTTCATATAATGCGAAAATCGAATTTGAATGGTTAGTCCAATTAATTTTATAGACGTGATGTATCGTATTAATAATTAATGTACATTATAATATCTTTTATTAAAAATGAATTTGTGTTAAATTAAAATGTTCGAAACTGGCGTATTCGTCATTTTGATCACCTTTTTAAATTTGGCAGCCGTTTAACTCGATAAAACGCAATCAAACTATTTAACTAGTACTTATATTGAAACGTAATGGACTTATGAAAAAATGGGTGCGTGTACTTATGTAGGCGCGTGAGAAGTTATCCTTCTTTGGCATCGTTTAAAATTAGTTTTTAATTGCATGCAAATAATTAATTACAATAAATTAATAAAAAGTCTGGAAAAGGACACAGTCAATAAAGTTCAGTTTTAATTTGAAAAAATAAATAAATAATCAAAATATTCAATTAAAATCGCTACTGAATATAATTTATTAGAACATATGTGATTTGCACTTGTATGAAACTCAAACACGTATTCCGAATATACAAACTAAAAACATGTGGATAAATATTATAAATATGAATACCTATAACTGTTACTTTATTACAAAAAATAAAGATGTGGTTTTTGGTTCTACTACACCAATGGTCAAGAGATGGTGCTGTAGTCTCCTGAATCGCGCTTTGGTTCCGTTGTTCCAGATAAATAAATACTTTTGATAGGCCTTCACAATGCAGTCGTTAGCATCCAAAAAATAGAGATTCTATTTCTATTTTGTTGGTAGATTTTCTTAATGTGCGGTAAACACAAAAGTAACAGCATGAAGTTGGTCGCTAAAGCGACTTAAAATTTCAGTCTCATCATTTTTTCATAACGCGCCTAAAGAAGTATAACTTCAATAAAATAAATAAAACACGTATTAGGTACAAAATTGTTGCATACTCACGGTATCCATATCAGTGGTTTTTAACCTTTTAGGCTCGATTTCGGGACGGACATAACATACCTCTCCTTAGTTTCTAGAGAGTTGTCAATTTCATGCGAGTGACCACGTTGTCCACGTCTAAGTTAATGAAATGAAGATTATCAGGAGCTGTACTAATTTTAGATACTTTATTCCCAATGAAATTTATACCTATTATAGGTATTTTAAGACAACGTGTGATTGGTGATTTTACAAGAAGCATTTTTGCAGGCCGGCAAAGTGAGGATGGTTGGTGTAGCAGTTTATAACTGCTGTACCAGCAATCTTCGCGTTTAACTTTATCACCACTTACGATGAGGTTGAGAGTCATTTGCCTACCTCCCTATAAAAGAAAACAAGACTGATACATGAATTTTGAGGAAAAAAAAATATAAAACAATATTCAAGGAATTTGACAAACCTCTTCGTAATTTCTAGAGAAGTCAATTTCATGATAGAGATCATTCTCTTTGTCTATGTTAGTATGTAACAAATGACGGTCTTCCAGAACGCCTCGTCGGGCATACCTCCGCCCGCGCGCTTCGCCGGCGGCTCTTGCACCTTACCCCGCGGGTCGACCATCGCCGCCTCCGCCGTGGACGGTAGGTGCGGCATACCCCTGCAGCACCTGCGCACGCTACCGCGACCCCTCCCCGCCCCCGCGCCCGCACCCGCGCCGCGTGCGACGCCGCGCGACACGCCGCTCTGACAGACCACGCAACTATAGGAGCGCAACACATGTAAATAGACTGTGATTTTTTAATACCCACCGCATAGAGATCGTCTAATCTTTTTTTTACGCTCCTTCAGAAAGCGGAGGACGGAGGTGAAAAATGTTTAATGCACATACCCCACAGCCGGCTGCAGGATTATGTCAGACTCTTACTGTATTAAAACCAGCTGAGGAAGCCTCTAAGGCTTTTAAGGCGACATTGGACGCGATTACCCGTTGGGTGGGGATGAATGATCTAACACCTCCATTAAACTACTCGCGAATTTACCCGAGGTTGAGTCTACTTAGATACTTAGTACAGAAGAAAAAAATTAGATCTTCAGTTGGCAGTCTGTACGTATGTATGTAAGAGTGAGACAATAGAGGGGCGTTCAGTTTAACACCTACACTACACTACTCGCGAAGTTAACTTAGGTTGTGCCATTGACTACTTATTATGATAGATAGATACTATGTACAGAAAAAAAATAGTTCTGCAGTTGGCAGTGTGTACGTAGTATGTATGTAGTTTGTGGCTCAACCGCGGGTAACTTCGCAAGTACTGTAGTGGAGGTGTAAAACTGAACGCCCCTCTATTGTCTCACTCTTACATGTACGATCAGTGTTCAAATGCAACACACTCAAATTAGCTACAGTCATTGGCCATTCAATTGATTAGTCGCCGGTTAGACTCGATCGTGGCAGCACACTTCGATCACTCATAAAAGTATGGAGGGGCGTTCAGTTTAAAATTAGACGATCTGTACGCGTTAAAACGATTTAGGTAAACCCACCTAGTTAGGCTAATTAATGAATTTCGTTACGATTCGTCGTTCGTTTGTAAATAAATTCCCCCGATTATAAAATTACATGTTTATAACTACCTAACTAGATTTTAAAATCGCCAAATTGTAATTGAGCGCGTTTAACTGGACGAGTCGTGTTGTTTTACGATTCCTGTTTTTGTATTATTTCATATTAGTATCATTTTATGTTTTTATTCAGTAAATGGTTGTGAGATATGTAAACCCAGTTATGTAAATTTTATAGTGTGTAATTAAATGATAATTATACGGTTTTGAACATTTATAACCTTTTGGACATCAGAACGAAGGAGGGTGTGGTGTGTAAAACAGAGTTTTGAATTGTTTCACTATTAAAAATGTATAGTTGAAACTATTAGTCATTACCATAATCATATTCACTAAATTGTGATAATATTAATAATATTGATAATCAAGTGCTCACTGAAAGTTTCTGGATGGCGTACCTTAAAAATTAACTAATAAGTTAACGAAATGAAGATTATCAGAATTTGTATTAATTTAAGATACTTCATACCTAACCACATTTATTTCTATTTATGGATATTTTAAGAAAATTTGTGCACAAGAAAATATCCAATACTTATCTGAATAATGAGAAAATTTAATTTTATAAAAACAAAATAATCGAGAGATTTGTGTTTTACGAAAGAGAAATCTCGCACGACGCTATTACAATGATAGTTTCTGGAATAATGGGCGCCAGGTGGCAACACTGAGACGAAAGATGAGTAGAATCTGTCAAATCAATTTTTATGCTCTTTCGATGAATTCGCGCCAAAAACTTCATACAAAAAACCTCTTGTCACAATAGCGCTACCTGGTGACGTAAATTTTCCTAAACAACCTCATTACGTAAGCATAAGTAACGAACAACACCCACATGGAACAATTCGTTTGAAAATGGAACCGGGATCATCAAAATATCCGCACAAAATCCTAATTTCTAAAGATTTTTAAAAGCTTTTGCATGAAATTTAAGAGAGTCAAAAAGGTTACAGTGTTAATAGAGCTATTGTCAGTGCTGTAAATTGCCAAAAGCTTTCAGTGACTCCTAAAAGTTCTAGTCTCGATCTCTTCATTTGTGTTGTTCTTTTATAAAAAAGTGAATTAAGTACACACGACTGACGAATACACCTGTGCGTGAAAACACTTTTTTTCCTCTTTTGTATAAAAAAAAAAACTTCTGCGTGTTCTTCTGTAAGAGTGAACTCACTTTTCCCGACGGAGTTCGCACGTGTGATTTGAAATTTATTTTTAATTCGTGTTCGAATTTTAAATCACACCGCGGTGATGTGAAAAGTGAGTTCTATCTTATAGAATGGCACTGCTGATTTAAGAAAGTTCAAACTGAGTATTGCGTACGAATTGAAGTTTTAAATATATTTGTATTTGTTTAGATCTGAAGTTCAGATTAATGGGAAATGGTATTAACGTATTCTTGCACGCCCTGGAAGTAACAAAACTTTTACCAATTAATGAAATATTTCCTGATACTTTTTTATATAAATTTATGTTTAACATAATTATGTTAGTATACACCGCGGAAAAATTCTTGGCAAACAGGACCATAGTCAAGGAAGCCTGCGCAGTTTGACATACAAAAACGTCTACTGCACAAGTATATTTGACAGTGGTTTTGCTCCAGAAGTTTGCCGCTACCTATACGACTAACAAGCATTAATTATCAAACATTATTTTAATTAAATTAATATACAAACAAATGAAGAGAATGAAGCAGTCATAGTGTAATAATGGTTAATTTGTCCATTAAGAAAATATTTTGTACATAGGTAAATTAAAAAATGTAAATATGTTTTGTATTATACAGTTATGATATTTGTGTCTTAAATGTGTTGGGCCTTTGAAGGGATCTTGTGCTTATATTGCCAAGTCTCACTTTTTAAACAGTATTATCATCTTTTAAAATTTATTAAATTTGATTATGGATTTTTTATTTGTTGCTTGCGTAGATAATATAGATAGAACTGCCTTTGGTAAGGCCTCAGGGTAAGGCAATTGGGTTAGAAAATTGACTATAGAAGATCATAATAAAATTATAAAAACGTCTCTATATCACGGAAGCCACTCATCGTCATGAGATGATGCGATGTATAAATGTCTGATCTGAATCTAACTAATCTGATTTAAGTTTTCACCAGGTCTACGTGCCTACGTAAGTAGTTACCTTACCTACCTGACGTAGGTAAGGTAATAAATAATAACAGAAGACAAGTACATAATGATATCAATAGACTGTCATTATTTTTCTCAAAAATTCTTATCTCATCCGTTATTAAATTAAATTATATAATAATAAATTGAAAAAGACTTGCTTTTGGAATAAGCGCTCGCCCCAGCAGGTTTTCCACATCTCTGCGAATAGTATCAGTTCAATGGTTTATTCATTCGGGGCTCAAGCTGGCTGTATGGAGATAGGACACTGATCCAATGGAAGAGTGCTACGGGTCCACAGTGAAAATGCACACCAGCATTGTCGATTTTGTTTTGTGTTGTACGAAAGTTCTCTTCTTCATTTTGTTCCTACACTAGTGCCTTTTCTATTGACACTTGCTTTATTTAATTCAGTCTTTACATACGTCCATGGGCTATGTACCACATAATCAAAGTTTGTTTGTTTATTCACTCAAAACAGTGTTTATGTAAGTTTAGTTTTGAAACAATTCGATAACACAAACGTTTTTAAGTTGACAGCACAAAAAACAACAAGTTTAAGAACAAATAACTTTCCGAAACAAGTTTAAGAAAAATTAGTACCTACATAATTTTCTTTAGCAGTTTCATTTTCGAATAATCTCATGTAGGTACCTATTGGATTACACAGATAGGCAAACTTAGATAATTTTACGGGCTAACGCAGGTGACTTCAAAAATCGTCTTTGATGTCTTACTTATTACATTAGTATGTTATTTAAAACCATAATGGATTAGCTTAATAATTAGATCTGATCAAACAAAAAAACAAAAGTATTCTTAGTGAAGACTTGGCAACATAAAATATAGTGGTGTAAAAGCTGCTCACTATGGCTATATGATCATCGAATATAAGTTGATAATTATTATATTCATCTCAATTATTCAAAAAATATAATTACGGGTTATATTTAAATGATCCTGAAAAAATACTAAATTCACAGAAGAAAATTACAATTGGCAAGCTTTAAGCTTGCAAGGGTAATTTGTTTCTGTGCTTCAAATCATTTTTGAAATCATTTAAATATTCTCCACCATCATTAATTAATTAGTGAAAAATGTTTGGGTTTAAAAAAAACATTTTAAAGGATATTAAATATCCTGTTTTGTTACTAGATAGGTAAATAGTTTTATGTATTTATCACAAAATGTTTTTGCTTAAGTTTGTACGTTATCATAATGTAAATAGTTTAAATACAAAAAGTCTTTCTAACTGTCAAAAAGTTTTCAGTAAACTATTGGGAAACGAAAAATAAATGGAAATATTCGCAATCGTTTGTTTGTGCTTTCTTTTTACTTAGATACCTACCTTTCAATAGAAGATCTTACTTAAATACCTCTTACAAAGAAATTAAGTAATTTATTTTCTTTTAAAGGAGTCTCCACTGCGAGCGACTAGCGTTGACAAATTTGGTAAATAATAGATGAATCTTGATCCGTGCCATTCACCCCGTTAAACAACGGGGCCCGGACTACTGGCGTCGGAGATTTTTTTTTCCCAACTGTCCCATTAACGTGGCGGGATGGCCGGGGTGGAGGGTACCGGCAGAATTAAAGTCATTAAACTTAAATTACATGAAACTAACTACTAAAGGTGATTTCGGTTTACAAGATAAAAATAAAAGGGGAAGGTCCTTTCATAATGGACGAAATCAGCACCAATTCCTTGTCAGTACTTATTTTTTTCTCAAAAAATAAACTGTGTATATATATTTAAACTCCTTTTGCACATAAGTTAACTAATTTATCTGGTTGCCTTATAAGAAAGTGAAGTACAGACATCACTTTCTTATATGACTGTGTTTAACGGACGTAGCCAAAGAGACAGTGGTTAAAATTCTTTCACTGTACGTTGGTACAGGGATAAACCAAAATACACAGAAAAACAAGGGGTTATCCATCACGATAAGATGTATATACAACTATCATTTAAAACATTCTAAATATTATATAATATTCCAGTTTCGGTCGCGAAATGCTAAACTTTTGTGAGGAGGAAGGATGGAGTTGTGCAGATGTGCTAAAATTAGGTCCTGATTCTGCAACTTTCACCTTCGTTAGTGAGAGTCACGGAACTGTGAGGTGGCTTGATCATTGTGTGACAACCGCGGCAGCGTGGGAAACTGTTGACTCTGTCAGTGTGATGTATGATGTATCTTGGTCAGACCATCTCCCGCTACGTATTATATGTGATGTTCGTGGCGTTAAGGAGAGCGAAACGAGTGATATTGGTGTCTTAGGCCCTCATCGAGGAGTGCGATGGGGAAATAGAGACAGTAATCAAGTGTTAAAATATTTTGAGTACTGTAATAAGGCCCTGCGCGGTATCGAAGATCTCATTGAGTGCACGTACTGTGATAGTAATGATATTTGCGAATGTTTTAATTATGACGAGCATCGTATGTTTATAAATAATTTTTATGATGATATTGTCACAGTATTACAAACAGGTGCTAAATTGACTGCAGAGTGTCGCTCTGGTGCATTGAAAAAACGTCCAGTCATAGGTTGGAACTATCACGTAAAAGAATTGCATGTCACATACCGCCTGCACTTTAATTATTGGATATATTCGGGTAAGCCACCTTCTGGTGAAATATACAACAAAATGAGAGATACTAGAAGAAGTTTCAAAAATAAGTTAAGATGGTGTCAAAAAAACGCAGAACAAATTAAATTAAATATTTTAGCTCTTAATAGAAAAGAAAAAAACTTTGTTAAATTTTGGAACAACATAAAGAAAATGAACATAAAGCAAAACTTACCAGTTAGCGTCGACGGCTTGCAGAATAAGGTCCAGATAGCTAGTTTATTTGCTGAAAATTTTAAAACTGCTCCCTTGCCTGTTTCATGCTTGCCCACTTCGAACAAGTCTGGTAGGGTAGCTGTCTGTCCGAAAACTACCATTCGCTTTAGTGAGGAAGACGTGGTTAAAGTTATAACCTCTATGGCGCGAGGTAAATCACCAGGTCATGACGAGCTGAGCATTGAGCATTTATTACACGCAGGCGGTATGCTTTGCTCTAAGCTCTCTAAGTTATTTAATATGTGTCTCAAGTACTCGTATCTCCCAAATAATTTAATGAAAACGATAATAGTTCCAATTATTAAAAATAGAACGGGGGATGTGAGCGCGTCCAACAATTACCGCCCAATATCTCTGGGGACTGTAATAGGTAAGGTTCTCGAACGACTTGTGCAGCCCGAGGTTTCGAGAAACATTGAGATTGACGACGCCCAGTTTGGTTTCCGTGCCGGTCTCTCTACAG